CTCCTTTTGTTTACACTCGAAGAAGAATAGTCTCTCTAAGCGAGGTTCCAAATCGTCGGTCATCCGATATGACGTCTCCGTTCCCTCCTTCAGGGAACGAGGGTTACCATACGTAACCGAGACGTTACCTGTTTCATACCTGAATGAATCAGCGTTTCTTGAATGATTTGTTTACTCACTCATAAAGGGCGCTACCTACTGCCGTATTTATGTGAATTACAGAACTGTAAATGTAAATTTAGCCATTGATGTGAGACTTCCTCCATCTTATTTTGTGATGACCAGCTGACTGAACGTTATCATTTAGTAATCGCACAGCATTTCAGTTTTGCAGTGCATAACATGTAACATTCATCTTCACCACAAATTTTAAATTATATTTTTAAAGGTTTTAAATAAAAAATTGTAATTAAGATTTAAAATTAGATTAATTTTATTTAGAATGGGACATCACATGTTTTACAGTGTTCTGGAGTGCCACACTGATTTGATCAAACAGGACAATTTAAAGGCCCCTTCGCCCTCTAATAAATAGGGCCATTCATTTTGATGGACAGCTTCCATCTTTTATTTGGACATGTATGGTCATGCCATACCAACAAGCCTCTTGTTTGTACCACGCCGCATCAGACTGGCATTGTTAACCGACATGCACACAATCATCTCAGCTCTCATCTCACCAGCCAGCAATGGCGATGCAACGCAGAGATCATGAATATTGACAGGAGATACAGGACTGGGGTCCGGCTGCTCATTTCACCACGTCAAGCCACATTGCAAATCTAATTCATTTTCCTCCCTGGACCACCATCTCACAAAACTGCCAAGTGTGATGGATTGAGTCAGAAATTCATTTTTCCTCATGTTCCAGAAATCCTGCAACATTACAAATGGAGGAGTATCCTGCGGTGGTTTGTAGAGCACTGATTTGTTTCTGTCCAGCATTTGGGTAACAACATTCTGCAGTGTCATTGGTTTACACTCGCCTCCCTTGACCCCTAGCAACATTGTGAATGGACAATTCATAAAGAAATAAAAAATACAGTCCCCCCCCCCAGTACTGTTTACTGAACCCCGACCCCCTCAACTTTAGGAAGTTAGAGGTCAATGTAGATGTTTGCTGCCACCAGTACAAGGGCCAACAAGGTCTATAATACCTGGAGAAAGCCATCCAAAAAATATTATAGTAAAAATAAGTAGTGCATAAAAATAAGTACATAAATTATGTTAAACTTACTATATATAAACTTATAGTAAAATCTCCAATCTATAATTTGATGAAATATTTAAATGTTGTTTACAGAAAATTTTATTTGATTTGTCACAATACACGGCTACATTTGAATAACCATAAATGGTGGAAAATGTCTGTATAATCTGAACCTCCTAAATATTTATTTGAAGTATGTTCTGAAATTTTCAGTTAATATTTCAATTTAAAAACACATTAAATTTATGGATTGATGGTTTGAGTTTCTGCCACAAAATAATGAAATGAGGTAATTTATGACTTTTTATCTCACAATTCAGACATTTTTCTTGCATTTATTTTTCTTTTTTTTATTCATGGCAGAAAAAAACAGAATTTCAAGACGTAAATTCACAATTTTGAGAAAAAATTGTGAGATATAACTTAGAATTGCTTGCAATATTGACTTTATTATTCTGAGATTACATCTGATTTTTTTTCTCAGATTTCTATTTTTTTTTTCACTGCAATTTATTTTTTTATTTTTTTCTGCCACAGAATTAAAAATAAAAAAAGTAATCAGCAATTCTGTGTTTATTATTTTCAATTCTGTGTTTAATTAAACAGATAGAATTGTGAGATATAAACTCATAATTGCGAGAAAAAAAGTCATAAAGTCATAATTATATAATAACTTTTTTTATTCTGTGGCGGAAACAGTCTTCCATAGATGTCAGTTAATGATCACATAACATGCAGGCAAACAATGCAAACATTTCATCTTTAAGTAAATGTTTTATTTTGATTGTTTTTTATTTTAAAATGATATAGCTATTTTAATTATGCATTTGAATGATTTAATTAATCATTAGCTTTTCATCAACTCACAAATTTCTTGCAGTTCCCTCATTAACATTCAGGGGTTGCTCCAGTAGAATGCAAAAAAAATGTTCTCCCTGACTTCTAAAATGCCTAATCAAAATTTTACCAAGTTATTGCGATATCTTTTTTCAAGCTAATGAAAAGGGCTTTTCTTAACCAGTTAACATTAAGCTTAGCTTGATAACTGAAAGTTAACCGAAAGTGAAAAAAAGAGAAATGATTAATTTGACCGTTTAACTTATTTAGTTTATGATACATGATATGATTTAAAAATACATTAATTAACATATTTCCATGATCACGATTTTCAATCATTTCCATCTGCATACTCATAAAAAGGAATCACTTTGGGCTCCAAATGAAACAGGATCTTGTGCAATAGCAACCTCTTCCCGCAGGAGCTAACATGTCCACTCTAACAAGCCAGACTTTGACCTCTTGGGCCAAATGGTCGAGGGAGTTGCAGGCAGGTGGTGATGAATGACATGTAAACACTCTACAGGCATAAACTGTATGGATGGGTGTGTCCTCCTGCAATCCCTCGTAACAGGTTTGCGCTAAGTTAGCTAATATCCCCATTCCCAGCTGCCGTTGTGTTTTTGCTGACCAAACACATCTGAGCCCGGAGAGAGCTAGAGGCAATCAGCAGGCGGGTCAACAGCCTTGATCGATTATTAGCCTTGCCGTTGGCCAGGTGATTATATATCATTTGTATGTATTGTGTTTACTTTCTTAAGTGTACCCTCCGCTAATCAAAGGCGTTTCGCTGAGACAAAATGCAGATGCTGGTCAGGAGCCATTCGCTCTTGTTCCCATGAGTCACTGCTTCTCTGACTAGATCGGGCATGATGCCTGAACAGTAGACTGATAAAACCCTGACAGCCCAGGCCCTGGTTTGAGTGTCAGGACTGCAGCAGAGGCAATTTCATTAACTTTCCTTCTATCAGTTATTAGCAATATCAAAATAGTGTGAAGATGGTTATCGATTGCGAGACGATATCTCCTGAACTCTGTGCGGCTGCTGACACCGAGAGATTGCTTTAGATAGTACGAGTGAATATGGAGGACAGTTATGTTGCAGATAACTTGATATGTTGTGAATTGTGTCATCAAAGATGAATGTATAGTATCCTGATGTCTTAAAGCATTTTCCATTGAACAGACAATAAATTTGCCATTTTTCTCAGAGAGACAATACATAAGGCCAAGGAATCGTCACGTTTGCAGTCACTGACAGTTGCACACACTTAAAGGTGCAATAAGCAATATTTGAAAAACGCTTTTGACCACAGTGTCGGACCAAGTCCCAAAACACACTCGCTGCCAATCAGCAGTAAGGGGCGTGTCTAGTAATGATAGGGAGAAGAGAGCGCTCAGTGAGTGCACAGGATGGATATTAGCAGATCGACTATATACAGCGAGAGATGGCAGATTAAAAAAAGAGGAAAATTTCGGAGGAACAAAACATTAAATAGAAGGGTTACGATCAGGCAAGAGGTAGGACCCACGTAAATATTGGAGCAGCTTTCCAGTGGTGGCGAGAACTCAAGGAGTGGGAAGGCCTGGAATCAGACGCCAAGGTTGCTTTGTTTCTTCTTGATAGGTGAGTTAACATTACATTATTTTTTACGTTGAATTACCATAGTAACAGACATCGCTTTCACTTATTGATGACATAATACCCTCGGCTGGCAGGCATAGCAGACTCCGCCATCGTCGCTACCAGGGTTGTGTACGTACGTGTAAGGTGGAGTTATCAAAATAGGGGAGAGGTCCTGTTAAGGTATGGGCGTGCTTGTTTTGGTGCTTTCAAATATCAACATCGTTTGGCAAAAAACGCTTAGTGCACCTTTAATGCGATTCATTGCCAATGAAAATAGCATATTTACATTTTATTATTATTATTATTATTATTATTATTAGCAGCAGCAGTTTAAAGGACAGTTATGATGACTTGATATGTTGTAAACTGTGCTTTCCATTGAACGGGCAATGAATTTTTGCAATTTTTCTCAAATTGCCATTTTTCTCAGAGAGACTATATGTATGGCCAGGAAACTATAACACTCGCAGTTACTGACTGCTATACGGTCTCTTGCTCAATGCGATTCATTGCCAACAAAAACCGAAATTAATTCCAGTCAGCTAGGTTAATCCCTCAAATTGTTTTTTTTTTTTCCCCCCATTACAGATAATGATACTTGCACAAGGTAATGGCCGCTATCCGAAAAGGTCTCCATATTGCTAGCGCTAATGTACTGTAAACTCTCTCTCTGGGCACTGTCGGAGATTTATACTGGCATGAGTGTGTGTGAGTGAGGCCTGTGTGTATGAGTACTCTTCATTAATGTAAGATAATGTAGTGTTGGGAGGGTACAACGCTCCTCAGTCCGTCCGTGCATGTTCTAAGTGGCTGAGTGTTGCCGTGTGGCTAAAGTGTGCAGCATTGCTAATGTATGCTAATTCAATAGACATGGAGCTTAAGTGTCATTTATCAACTCGTTTGACAAAGTCCTGCACATTTTCACACCGCTTTAGATCGCTTGTACAGAGTATTGTTCAAAAAGATAAAAATGGATGTGCTGCTAGCCTGTTTTAACACAATGCTGATTCATTTTAGGCGAGCTGAATGTATTCATTACTCGTTCACTCCCAATGGACTGTGTGAGGCGAGCAGTGTGTGATTAATGGTTGGTCTCTGTGCCCACACAAGAGCAAAAACCTGAAAACCAGATCCCGAGACAAAAAATAAAAACGCCTCAGCGCCTGAGAGAAAATAGAGGAGGGCAAATTTGAATGGGCACTTGAGTTTTCAGTCCTCAAGTCCTGCTCCACTGAAGTAGCACACCTGCTCTCTGGGGCCTTGATGGCAGACAATGTTCTTGTTTGTGGTTATGAGGAAGCGTGCCGTGGCATTAAACTGCTGTCTAATACACTGCCTTTCTTGATTTTCATTTGAGATGGACTGAAAAGCCCTTCTCCCACTCCTATTGAGTGGGCAAATGTGGCACACAATGCGGGTCCGTTCTTTCACTGAAATTAAATTGTCTGTTTGTAAATGTGAAAGTTTGCCCAAAGCATAATCACTCAGAATGATGAGCATGCTTTAAGACATTTTGCATTTGAGGTGCATGAATAGATGTTGTATAGGACAGTGTTTTTACAGACCAGCACAGCCCAAACACACACACACACACACACACACACACACACACACACACATATATATATATATATAAACTATACTCCATATCCACAGACATGCAAGACTAAACATGGCTCAACCACACACACACACACTACCAGCTCCATCAGTTACAGTCCCTCACACCCTCAGCACTCAGCACTCAGCACTCTTATAACTTCTCAAACCAGCAGCATTCCTCTCAGTCACCATTCACAAAGCCCTTAGTATCCTTCATAAAACTACAAGTTGGAACTAACAAAAAGTGGCATTGTGGTACCATGGTCTTGAACATATTTTGTGTGTGTGGTTTAAAAGTTCAATTTGTTAACATTGCTAACAACAATACTAACAATGAAAAATACATATAAAGCATGTATTAATCGTAATGGTAATTTTGAGATTTACTAATACGTTATTAAAATAATATACAAAATTATTATAACATTGTGTATATATATATATATATATATATATAGTGCTGCTTGAAATTTTGTGAACCCTTCAGAATTTTCTATATTTCTGCATAAAAATGACCCAAAAGATCATAAGATTTTCTCCCAAGTCCTGAAAGTTGACAAAGAGAATCCAATCAAACAAATGAGAAAAAAATATATATATTTTGTCATTTATTTATTGAGAAAAATGATCCAGTGTTACATATCTGTCAGTAGCATAAGTGTATGTGAATCTTTGCTTTCAGTATCTGGTCTGACCCCCTTTTGCAGCAATAACTGCAGGTAACGTTTCTTGTAACTGCTGATCAGTCCTGCACAACAGCTTGTAGGAATTTTAGTCCATTCCTCAGTACAGAACCACTTCCACTCTGTGATTTTAATGGGTTTCCTTCTATGAACTGCTTGCTTCAGGTCCTTCCACAACATTTCCAGTGGATTAAGGTTCGGACTTTGACTTGGCCATTCCAAAACATTAAACTTTGTTCTTCTTTAAACATTCTTTGGTAGAACGACTTGTGTGCTTGGGGTCATTGTCTTGCTGCATGACCCATTTTCTCTTGAGATTCAGTTCTTTTTGAGATTCATTTTCCTTTAGAATTTGCTGGTATAATTCAGAATTAATTGTTCCATCAATGATTGTAAGTCGTCCTGGCCCAGATGCAGCAAAACAGGCCCAAACCATGACACTACCACCACCATGTTTCACAGATGGGATAAGGTTCTTATGATGGAAGGCAGTATCTTTTAAAATTCTGGCAGTTTAATGCCTACAAAAACGGTTCGTAGGGACTACAACAAGTTACTTCCCGGGTTCATGATGTAACAAACCCAGATAAACCCCGCCCTCGGGAAAAGGCAGCAAAGGGAGCGAGGCCATGCTGCGCTGCTTTAGAGAAGAGTAAGAGAAAACTAGAGGTGCACGTAAAAATCTATTCTATATGAATCGCGATTCTGTCTTCTAACGATTCTAATGGATTCACAAGTTTCAAAATCAGTGTTCTAAAGCAGTGGTTCTCAATACCGTTACCAGATAGACCAGAGGGGTGGAAATCCCCCCCATCCCCCCCGGCAAATCGCACCCTGTATGTATATATATATATATATATATATATATATCTTTAAAATATTGATAATTACAAATACACAAACACACACACACACACACACACACACACATATAAAACCTTTGTTTCGGTCAACGTTTCTAACGTTTGAAACACACATGAAATTTACAAAGTTTTTTATATTGCTAATTGCTAATAAATCTGATTGGTTGAGCCACGTTCAAAATACACAAAACATGCAGCCCTATGACTGCACATTCTATATCATATTGCTTTGCAGGCATAAACAGCCTACAGGCAGGATAATGAACTCGGATGAATTATACCGATAATTGTTTGTAATAAATGTAAACCTTTATTGAACATTGGTGTCTTTTATCATAGTGCCATTGCCGGCATTTTATAAAAGCAATAAGCCGCAGGAGTCTGTGCGTTGTAGTGAATTACAGCATGTGTGAGTTGGGGGTGGGGGTTGACACTCTGCTTTATGTAAAATCACTGTAACACATGGCCTCTCCTGGCTTATTGCTTGAATATAGTTGACTCTTGCCTGAATGTATGCTAATTTGCTTTTATTGTGTTCACTTGTTTATACAATAGCTACAGCAATAAATAATTTAGGTTAAATTGCCAAAAACAACAACAACAAAAAAAAAAACTCCTAGAGGAAACCTTGAGAATTCCCCGTGTGACAACTTGCCCCAGGACTCTGTTAGACTAGGTCTTGACTGTTTACGATACTGCCTTGTGCTTTACATTACAGTGCTCACTTTGCAATATAATTACATTAATATTTACAAGGTCATACTAATTACAAACATATATTATTATTACAATATAATGAATTATATTAAGATGTACTACTGTATATGTAACAAGGACACTGAAAATGCAGTGTGCTGTTCACATTAACTACGTCAGAATGGAAAAATGATCTCCCTCTGTGCTGTTTAGAAAATCTAAAGAGACACAATCAAAAGGCTCTGTAATGTAAGACAGAGGGTGATGGATCTAAATGCAGCGGCGAGATGCTAATAGCAGCTTTGAGCCCTGCAACTCGTTTGTCTTTTATTATCTAAGGGATTGTTTCAACGGTTATTACCACTTTGTAACAATAATGAGACACTCTGTATGTGACTCGCACCAGACCACTTTTGGCCGGTGACTCTGCATTCGGTCCACACTCTTATAAATAAATATATGTGTAATATGGAAAAACAGGCAAATCCTCCCTTAATTAGATGTAGTTTTACTACTGTTTCTCTGCTAGAGGGTGTCCTGTTGTTATCAAAGCATGGAATTATATCTTCACACATAACTAACACCCTTGTTTATTTATTTATTTATTTTTTAGCTTTTCACTGAGAGGCTAATTATCAAAGGATAAACTCCTCTTCCCAGAATGCCTCAAACTGAGAATAAACAGTCGACCAATTATTTTGTGATCTATAGACTTCATTATTTTCTACAGTGAGGATGATAGAGTTTCATAAGCAGAATTGATGAGATCGGATGTCAGCAATGACTCCAGTACACTGTAAAAAAAAAATAAGTTGATTCAACTTAAAATAATTTGTAACCTGGCTGCCTTAAAATGTTGTGTTCAATAAGCTAAAAAACATTTGTTGTTTACACATATATTGGAGTTCCTTAAACCTAGAATTAATAGTTGGGGTAACAAAGGTGAAGTGGAGTTAACTTTATACTTTGTTTAACCAACCAGTTTTTAGTTAGCCCAACAAGACGAGAAAGTTGTGCTAACCTAAATTGAAGTTGAAACAACATAAAACTAGTGAGTTGTTTAAACTAAGGATTTTGTTGAATAAACTTGTAAGTATAAGTTGTGCAAACTAAATACAAATTGGTCAAACTAAGCGTCTTGTTGAATTAACTTATATTTTTAAGGCAGCCAGGTTACTTTTTCAAGAATAGTTCATCTCACTAGTAATGTTTAGTTCATGTTTGTCAAACAATTATCTAAACAAACGTATGAAAACTAACAACAGTTTTAATTTCATAACATTTCTGTCGAACAATTTTCTAAAAAAATAAAAATAAATAAAAAATAAAAATGTATGAAAACTTGTACATGCAACAAGTTTGGTAGCTTAGATTAACTCAATGGCATTTTAGAACAAATATGTTAAGCTTTTTTTTAAACCATGCAAAATGGTGGTGTGATGCAACTTTTAGTGTACAAACAGTAAACATTTGTGTAACTAACAAATCAATGCTACCAACTGAAACTGTATTGCTGCCATTAACTAGGCCAACTTGCCACTACACTTTGTCTTGAAGCAAACTGTTGCGGAGTCCATTAACTTTCGCAGAACAATTGCCACTGCCAATGCCCATGAACACTTTTTGTATCACCTCGAATGTGTACTTCAGTCTCTTGGGATAGTCTATGTCAAGACAGTAAAGAAGACCCATGAGTGTAGCAAAGGCATTAGCAACATCTCCTAGGTCACGTTTGACAATCTGTTCTTCCAGAACCACAGCAACATCCACCATCTCCCTTTCTCGCAACGCTCTGCTGCTCTCGCCTTCTACAGTGACGATGAGAATGCCAACATCAACGTCTTTTGTAGCATCTTTTTCTGAACTGTCAGCCTAAGAACATAATGAACAAAGATATTGGTAATTAAGCATGTACTGTTACATTACCAAATTCAATGTGCTACCGTGTTGAGAAAGAAATGACAAATGCAACATTGATGATTACCTGAAGAAAAATTTCTCTCATGAGACACATCAATATAATTTGTTTGTGTAGTACTAGGCTGTATCACTTTTCTCAAAACCAGACCAATATACGCAATGGCGTATTAAATATTATATTAAACTATTTACAAGAATCATTTTATGACATTAAAAGACAAATTACTAGATTTTAAAGAATGTTGGTAACCAGACAGTTTCTGTTCCCTATAATATTTGGAAGTCAATAGTAACCACCAATTGTTTCGTTACCAACATTTTTCAAAATATCTTCCTTTATGTTCTTCAAAAGAAAGTACTTCATGCAGGTTTAGACTTAAGAGTGAATAAAATTAAATTTTTGTGTGAGCTCTCTCTTTAACTGTGACAAAAGTTCCCCATGTCATATTGAAATCAACTCTCATACCTCACAGACACGGATGAAACTGCTGGGATCCTCCTTTAAGTAATATGGGAGTCCAAGCAAAGCAGCCGCTCGTCTCTTCTGGTTTGAAGTCTCAAGACACAAAAAAAGTAGACAAACTGTGATGACTGCAGAACCAAGCACGCTCATAATTATGATAACACTGCTTTTGAAGAATATTGAGCAGAGTGTGAGTGCGCTATTGATTAAAGGGGTCATATGAGGCGATTTCAATTTTTCCGATGAGCTTTGTAAAAATCGACGCACTTCAGAAAGGCGGGGCATAGAGGAGAAACAATAATGTACAGTATGGGGAAAATAATGTTTTTTGTACCTTAAACCGCATAAACACATTTCATTACACCAAATACACAAAATAATGTTCTTTTTAGCAACATCATATGACCCCCTTAAAGAATATGTTGTTTTATAAGTTGTTTAAGGAGGGGAAAACACTTCTCTTTCTCTTATGTGTGTATCTAACTCCAGTGTTACTAAATGCAATGGCACTGTCTCTTGCACATCAAATGATTGCTGGTAAATATTGTTTGTATTTTTGTATTTTCAAATTACAAATACTTATTAAATACATTTCTCACAACAGTATTTTGTATTTTAATTAAATACATTTGATGAGCAAGTATTTGTAATTCATAACTTTATGTATTTGTGCCCATCTGTGTGTGTGTGTGTTAGACTAGGTCTTAATTGTTCATGATACGTTCTATCTATTTATTTATAATTATGTATATATCAAGATATAGTAGTACTGTTAAATTGATCTATTATATTATCTATAAGCAAAATATTTAATATCATATCATATCATTTTATTTTATTTATTATATATTATATACTGTATACTTTCTATATAATTATTTTATCAATCCATCCCTTCATCTTTATATCTGACTGTACTGTTTCTTTTAGCAGATATGAGTCAAAAAGTCCATTTGAGCAGTTGGGAAATAGAGCAGGCTGTGAGTTCAATGCCAGGTCACTTCACAGGACGTCAAGGCCACTTGCTGTGACCAAGAAAATCCTGAAAAATTGAGAACATCCAGCATGGACCAGGTGAAGGAGAAGGAAAAAAGAAAGATCAGGTAAATGCATTGTGTAATGTTGAACCTATGCCATGGTCATATGGATCACAGTATATTAACTAAGTGGAAAAGTGTCATCTATACCCCCAGCTGCCCCTGCGGGGGGCCATTTAGACCAGCAACACTGATGATTTGTCATAGCACTATATATGGGACTTCACTGACAATGCTGTCAGCTGCAATCGGGGAATGAAGACTAGGGATTTTTAATGCGATTCACATGTCTGATTAAGACAGGAACTCCCCGTTCAGCATCTAAACAGCTCAATCTCTAATTCTCCACACATAGCCCTTGTGTTTTCCCCAAGGTCTCTCCCCTGTCTCTCTCAAAACCCAATCAAATGTAAGCCATCAGTGCAGCTCATCAGCGTAGACAAGCAACCGTGCAGAATGAAAGTGTCTCATCAGTGATATTCCTCTGATAGCCCTCTAGTCGGTAACAGCTCACCCACTCAGCTTGTGTACCACACAGTTGCAGGAGCCCTCACAAACAGCCATGCCAATATTCCTCCTAGATACAGTTACATTTTCAAATCTCTTTATTAATTCATGATACTGTTTATTCATATGGGGTGAAATCTAGAACATTGATTTTTCACTTGGGGCTTGTTCTAAGAGGCCAGGCAGAAATATTTATAGATTTATATATGAAAAAAAAAACACTTTTTTTTTGTCTGACCATGAGTTTAATTAGATCACCTTGTACGACACAAAATATATATGTTAAAAGTTAATAGATATGTAGATTTTATATAACAATAAAAAGCAGATACCAAATGCAATGTTTTCAGCAGAAACCCACCTTAAACAATTAGTTTTTTAAGGAATAAGTATTATATTTCTTTTATTAGGGGTTCAAGCACATAGCGCTGAAACCCTATTGTAATTGCTAAAATGTCCAAAAATCAGCATTCTCCCCTAAAAGTGATAGGGCAGACCAAACCGTAATTCGTAAAGACTTGAAACTTGGAGGAATGGTAGTACTCACACAGTCTACAATGTCACAAATACTCACCACCAATCGGCCTGATGGTGGCGCTACTGCAATCAAAAGTATGAAATCGCTCGTAACTCATAAACAGTTAGTCACAGGCTCAACTGCCATATATCGTTAGGATCCTTGGCTCACGATGGAAAAAAACGCATCTGTGAAATTTTCGGGGGAATTTTGGATTTTTTTTTTTTTTTTTAAACTACTTTTGCAAACTAGTCCTAGGTTGTTCACCGGATTGGAACTAAAACAGTGCAGAAAGATTCTCTGGAGAGTCAATATCAATAATTATCAAAAAAAAGTCGAACTTTCGACTGACCGTCATGACGGGATGCTAAAACGTTTGTAAGGGACTGAGCCGCTTTTACTAAAACGGGTATAACTTTTGAATGGAAAGAGATATTTTCACCAATCTTGGAACACTTATGTAAGAGATAAATCTGAGGTCACAGTAAAAAAAAAACCTCACAAACAGGTGGAGTTATAACAAAACGTGGAGTTCGCCCACTTGGTGGTGCTATAACAAGGAAAAAACATAAAAAATGGGTATAACTACGCAACCGCTAGTCCGATTGACTTGAATATTGGTATGCAATGTCTTTGTCCAAAGTGCCACAAATGTCTCTGAGGATATTTGCGCTTCTCAAAAAACATGGCCGCCATCGGCCTTAAGTACCACTGCTATCATTCAAATCATTCATTAAATATTCACAATTATGTAAAAAAACCTACATTTGCGAGCTAGTCCTAGGTTCCCCTTCAGGAACTCGAGCTGCGTCGAAACGCTACGGGAACGCCTCCAGCATGACCACGCTCTGAATCACATGTGGGGTGTCGATGAGCTCGCCAGTTGCACAAGCATCAGTTACACAAGCATGTTATGCCTAATATTATAATGAGCAGCTTTACTGTGGACACAGGCATTAGGTCTATACTATTATGAGCAGCATTTACTGGGGAGCGGAGCTCGTGCAGTCAGCTCTCGGAAATAAGGGGCTGATTGTGCTTCTCCCTGCTGAACGCTCCGCTCCCGCTGGGCATGCTCCGAGGAGTGTGTCCGTGCTTGCGAGCTCACGGTTTGGTCCCGCTATTGCTGAGGCACGGTGGCGATTCAGATCGCGGGGATCGCACGTGGATCTAGCGGATGGGTTATAGACGGCTCGCCCTTTCTCCGCCTGCACTCCCTAGATCCAGCGCTCTCTCTCGAGGCTCGGAAGCCCGCACTGCGGTTCTTCCCCCTCTGAGAGAGAGCTTGCTGATGCGGCCATCTTTCTCTGAGGAGAAGTTAGAAATATCATTTTCGATTTTTGAAATGAATCTATCACACCAGACCGTGCTTACTGGTCTGGTTGTTTGATTGCATTTGATTCTGAGGAATAAAATGAAGTACTTATCTGACTATGAGAAGTTAGATATACAGTGGCTCTTGGGATAAAAATTTCTCGAGTAAGAGCACGTGTTTAACTCTCTTCCTCTGAGGAGGTTGAGGCGGTCAGCAGGGGCTGCTGGGCGGGAGCAGTCCCAACCTACCGTGTTCCAGCTCCTCATTCTGGGGTTGTCACTTCTCGTACTCCGCAGAGTCTAGAGTCACAGTGGCGCTCCCAGGCTAGCCGCTCTGATTACACCAGAGGTCAGTCTCGAGAGACTAATTCCCTTAGTAGACTAACGTGTCTCGGTGGGTCCTGCACACTGTAGAGTGAGGCTATAGAATCCAGTTCTCCTCCGCCTCAGGTTAAACGGGGTCATCCCCACTATGGTGGGTCCCTAGCAGGCTCTGGTCATGGAAAAGAAGTAGTTACTCTTTTGAGGAAGGAGGCCATCGAGGTGGTCCCTCCTCACGTAGCAGAGTCTGCGTCATTTGAACCACTCAGTCAGGCGACTGAAGTTCAGCACACTCGCACTCAAACAAGTCGTGTCTCAGATCAAGTCAGAGGACTGGTTTGGCATTGAGATGTCGTTGTTGCTCACACGAAAGAGCTGGGTTAAGACTTAACGCAAAGAAAAGTGTGCTTTCTCCAGTACAGAAAATGACTTATCTGGGCGTGGTGTGGGATTCGACCACGATGTAGGCACGTATGTCTCCTGTTCGGATTGAGTCGATCCTTGTCGCGAGAGTGAGAGAAGACCGGTCACTCACTGTCAAGCAGTTCCAGACTGCTGGGTCTGATGGCAGCCGCGTCCAACGTGGTTACTTTTGGCCTGCTGTACATGAGACCCCTACAGTGGTGGCTTAAGACCAGGGGGTTCTCCTCGAGGGGAAACCCGCTTCGCATGCTCAAGGTCATGCAGCGGTGCTTACGTGCCTTAGACATGTGAAGGAAACCTTGGTTCTTATCTCAAAGCCTGGTGCTGGGAGCTCCTGGTCGCTGCATATGCTAGCGACGGATGTATCTTTCACCGGTTGGGAACGGTCATGAGTGGCCGCTCGGCCCGCGGCCTGTGGAGCGGCCGCCATCTCAAGTGGATTAGTTGACTGGAGATGCTGGCCGTGTTTCTAGCTTTGAAACACTTCCTCCCAGGCCTAAGAGATCACTATGTGTTGGTGCGCACCGACAACACAGCAGTGGTCTTTTATATATGTGGGGGCAGCACGGCCTGTGGAGCGGCTGCCATCTCACGTGGCGCATAAGTTGACTGGAGATGCTGGCCGTGTTTCTAGCTTTGAAACACTTCCTCCCAGGCCTAAGAGATCACTATGTGTTGGTGCACTCCGACAACACAGCAGTGGTCTTTTATATATGTGCGGGCAGACATCCTGTCGAGGCAGGGGCTGAGGCCCGGGGAATAGATGCCTCACCCCGAGGAGTGAAGCATTTTCCCCCGATTGTTCTGATCCCGGGAGTTCTGGAGAGAGTGCACTGGAACGAGGTCAGTCGACTGCAAGACAGTGGCCCTGTTCTGGCCGGGCTGAGTATGGTTCTCGGACCTGATTTCTTGACTCGACGGCGCTCCATGGGAGATTCCCGTCAGGAGAGATCTCCTCTCACAGGCGAAGGGCGCGCCCCCGCCCGGAGCTGTGGGTGTGGCCTCTGAGGAGGCACAAATCATAGCTTCTGGTCTCTCAACCGAGGTTGTTGAGACCATTCTCCATCCAGAGCTCCCTCTATGAAGAAACTGTACTTCTTGGTGCGGAGACCGCCAGCTCGACCCGGCTAACTGCCCGTTTGGTACAGTTCTGGAGTTCCTGCAGGCCTGTTTATCCGCAGGCTTGACCCACTCCACCCTAGAGGTCTTCGTGGCGGCCATTGCGGCTTACCTCCCTCTCGGTGGCCATTCAGTGGGAAGACACCCTCTTCTTACACGTTTCCTCCACGGTGCACTGAGGCCTCTGGCCAGAGAAACTTATGCTAAGTGGTGGAACAGGATGCTATTCCATAGCCTTGAGCTCTCTGATCTCCCCTCTCCTTCGGGGGTCAAGGCTCACTCCTCCAGAAGTTGGCCTTCAGGACGGTGGGCCCCACCTACTTTAGCCATTCCTGGCTCCCTTTTCTCTCGTCTCAGTTGTGCTCTTCCACACTAGGCAGGGATTTGCAAGTCTGGCGGCGTGGGCATTCTCGTTCCCGTAGCGTTTCCTGACGCAGCTTGAGTTCCTGAAGAGGAACGTCTCAGGTTACGTATGTAACCATGGTTCCTCTAGGGAACGAGACGCTGCGTCTCAGTGCCATACTTCCGGCATCCCTGCCGGCGCTTGCTTCATTCCTGAAGCTGACGCCGGCTCCGCCGCACGTGCTTTTATAACTTCCTGTGGTTCCCCGAAGGGAACGAGACGCTGCGTCTCAGGGCCATACTTCCGGCATCCCTGCCAGCACTTGCTTCACTCCTGGAAGCTGACGCCGGTTTCACCACACGTGCATTTATGCTTCCTGGTCGCTACGTCACCCCACCCGTGACGTCTTGCCCATCCATTGGACTGATTACACATGTGATTCAGAGCGTGGTCACACTGGAGGTGTTCCTGTAGCGTTTCGATGCAGCATCTCGTTCCCTTCGGGGAAACATGGTTACATGCGTAACCTGGAGACATTCCCCTTCAGGAACTCGAGCTGCGTCGAAATGCTACGGGAACGAGAATGCCCACGCCGCCAGACTTGCAAATCCCTGCCTAGTGTGGAAGAGCACAACTAAGGCGAGAGAAAAGGGAGCCAGGAATCTGAAGGGGAACGTCTCCAGGTTACGCATGTAACCATGGTTCCCCGAAGGGAACGAGACGCTGCGTCTCAGGGCCATACTTCCGGCATCCCTGCCAGCACTTGCTTCACTCCTGGAAGCTGACGCCGGTTTCACCACACGTGCATTTATGCTTCCTGGTCGCTACGTCACCCCACCCGTGACGTCTTGCCCATCCATTGGACTGATTACACATGTGATTCAGAGCGTGGTCACACTGGAGGTGTTCCTGTAGCGTTTCGATGCAGCATCTCGTTCCCTTCGGGGAAACATGGTTACATGCGTAACCTGGAGACGTTTTACACTCAACCTCAATATAACCACTGCAGCACAATTCTCTGGATTCTGTAGATCAACAGGCGATCTGTCACAATCTGTCTTGTCTGTCAGCGTATTGTCAGTTTCATATATTGTCATGTATTTTTCTCTATGTGAGAACATGATGTGTAGTGTGAGAGCGACATGGCTTGTCTGACATAACAACAGTAACTAAGGAGGGTGGGTTTTTGCGAAGGGTCAATTATCAAATTATCAATTATCAATTATTGGGTTGCTATAACGGGGTCATTTAGAAAAGGGGTGTGGTCAAGTGCATGCAAAAGCCTATATCTTCAAAACTAAAATTCAGAACTTCACGAAAATAGGTGAACACATGCGACATGATTCTAAACAAGCATGCAAAGTTTCATGGAGATCAGACCATAGGTGGTGCCATAACTGTTAAAAAGCTTTAAAAACATGTATTTTCTTAGTAAATTGACTCTATTGGCTGTAAATGGTCCTGTCCATCTGTGATCTAAGTGGTTACATGCTTGCTAAATAAAACTTAACTCCTTTTTACGCATGTGCTTAAAGGCCTTAAAGCGCTTGAACCCTGATAATTGCTGCTTGCAGCTACATTAATTTTTTATAATTATCTTTTTGTAATAGTTTTGTATTATTATAATTTTATAAGACTAAATATAATAATAATAATAATAATAAAAACACTATTAAATATCTACTTTAATTATACATTTAATAATAAAAATTATAATAATAATTATTATTATTATAATTATATAATTTAAACAGGAACCTGCTTTTTTGCAAAGGCTTAAGAAGATGAATTTGCTAAATATTAATTGTTTGGAATTGTTTATTATTATTATTATTATTATCATAAGAATTATTATTATTATTATTATTATTATTATTGTTGTTGTTGTTAATATAATAATTATTAACATATGTCGATATAATAATGATAACAATATAACAATTACAGTAATGGCGGCATATATGCATCTTCTTGATTTAATGAAATATTTAGTGTGAAATACAATAATTAAGACTGTGATTTATGGGTGAGAATATTCATAGTTGAGCTGTCACATGCTTGTATAAGCTCCAAAAATACTCTGCATCAAAATGATAAAATGCTCACTGCATTCAAAATCAACTTATTTTTGGGAGGAAGCACATGTTTCGCTATCTGCGGCAGAACAAACCCAATCACACCATCAGTTTGGCTGGGTATTAAAGCAGGTTATGTTGCTTTATTGAGCATCCAAATCTGTGTGCCGCTGCAAGAGCAAAAAGAGTTGACGGATGCCAAGTCAAAGCATTTGGGAAAAGAAACAGAGAAGGCAAAACATCTGGCCTCTAGTTTTTAATTAGAGTCTGTTCACCTTTGGGATTATTTTTAGTTCAGGTGGTGAGGGATTACTCCTCCTTGCGGACCACTTGACAACAACGTGAAAGCACCTGTGTTGTTGAAGTGAGAGAAACAGAGCAAATGTTCGCTTTTGTTTGAGCTACATGCTCTAAAATAAAAAGACATGTGAGGCGGATGACACCAAAATTCACAGTTTCTCTTTGGCTACAAGACTTTGTAACCCTGCCCAGCTCCAAGGGCAACTGGAGCAAACCACAGAGTATGGGATTCTGGGATGGGGGGGGGGCGCATGACCAGTGGGAGGACACTTAGCCCAGGGAGATGCAAAATCGATTCGGTTTCACTTATCAGAGTCTAGTGAGAGATGAGTTTGTGTGGTATCCATAACAGATTCAGAACAAGCCTCCTGCTGAGAAACTCACCTCAGTTTCCACAGAGCCGTGCTCCTGCTCTGCTTAGCCAGGATCGAGCACCAGATTTTTTTTTTTTTTTGAAGGGGGAACAGCAGAGAACCTTTTCTGGGGTTGGCGGGAGGTTTTATTGCTAGCGGCTACGGGTGATGACACTAGCCGGTGTGATTGAGAGTAAGTAATCACGAGTGTCAGGCCCGTTCTCAATAAAACCTGCGCGCACAAAGCGAGCTTCTCTTTGATTGACACTTTCTTATAATCCGCCATATGAATTCCGGGAAGCCTATTATGGCTTTTTTTTTTGTTTTGTTGCTGGATGCTGTAAGCACTTAGTTTGTCCGTATCAACAGGCCTTTCAACCTGCGTACATTTCCATTCATATACGGGGGGAAATCAATCTTCAAACGTTCTAAATACATTCATAAGACAGGTACGGCATGGCTTCAGACAACATGATTCGTTTTGCTTGGCGAGAAAACCGAGTCATGGAGATAAATGTTGGCGGAGAAGGCAATTTTGACCAGGTCGAATGCTGAGTGTTGGGACTAATCATTTCCTTTTCCACCCCATCGAGTGCTGTCACTCAGCCCCACACTAATGCAGACATAATCATAGCAAGGGGATGAGGAACTTTTCATGTTTAATTAATAATGCTAATGAAACTTAATTAGCACGGCTAATGAAAAATGCATTCAAATGAGTGATGAGCTTTATCCTTAAATAACAAGCCTCCTGCACTTGATTTGGTGTCCTATTACATGCTAATTAGACTGCACTGGGGACTGTTAATTTAACGAGCGCACATCATTTTCATCTTCTCCATAGTGGAGGGGCGCAGGACCGGTGGGTGTGAACGAGAGAAAGAACGGAAGAACTCCTGTTTAGAAGCTGTTATTTGAAAGATTATTTTTTCTGGTACTTTTTGGCATCTAGTGGCATCAAACAAAGTAAATTGCAGAGAGTTGTGCCTAATAGAACCTGAATTACAGATTTTCAAAAAAATACTTAGTTTTAAAACTCCGAAAGCGCCTATGTTTTTTTTGTGTTTATAGTAATATTTGAAAAGTATATAATGTTATTTATAAAGAATTACACTCATATTTTGTAGTTCAAAGGGTTTTCTTTACAATGAAACCATTTTTTTTCATTTCCTCCATTGTATGTGTGCAGGGTAAACATTTGAATTTGAGTATGTTAAATTTAGGCGAAAATACCAAAAAACGCGCCGAGCTTAAGTGGTTTTAATAGTCCTTCTCTGTTAACGGAACATTTATATAAGTTTGACTGAATTAATTTTACTATGCTCAGATTTTTTTTTACACACCACTTCACAAAATCTAGGTCTTACTCCAGAAATTGAATTTAAACAGGATCTATATATAAGTCTTCATAGTGCTGAGTTCTATGTAAATATGGTTTATTGTGCATAATTATTTACATAAATTATATTTTCTTGTTGCAATTAACTATAAATGCTCCTGTAAAGTAGTCAGTACTTAATTTAGTAACAAAACAAAAAAAACACATTCATGTGCATTTTCTAGCAATCATGGCTGCAGTAATGATCAGATGATGGGGAATATGTTTTGAGTTTTTATGGCCTGAGATGTACGAACATGTAGTGAAAATTATTTTTAGGTTAAAATAAATAAA